AAAAAAAAAAAAAAAAAAAAAAAGGAACCGGACTGATGCTCCCCAGAATGGAAAAGGAGCCAGAACCATAAGGTTCTGTTAAAAAAAGAAAAAAAGAAAAAAAAAAAAGGTTAAAAAAACAAAGAGGTATGTCTTGGATGATGGCATGAACCTTTGAGTGAAATAGCATAACTGACGCCTTCATAGATAGGCAGGCATCAGGGAGCCTTTCCCGAACCATGTGTGCGAGTTTCCTTGCATGCAGCTCTCACAGAGGTCCTTAGTAAGCAGCACTGTGGCGGTGCTCCTTGCAGGTTGTGCTCGTTGGATTTGATAGAAAGCTCCTGAGCTCAGATATGCTTCAGCGAATCAAGAAAAGACTGCAAATCCAGCTTCTGACAACAGCATTGCTCCGCGTTCCAGCACTGGCAGAGCTCAATGAGGAGCAATTGGAATCGCTTGCTGACCTTTTCACAGAAACACACCATTCCTACGGTGAGTGGTAAGGATCTTTTTCCTTGAATATTCTACTCGATAATGAAGGCATAATTCCCTGTGATGTCCATTGTTCTTTCTTCCGGACATTCCACCAACATGCCATCGGTCTGGATTATGTTTGTGCCACTTTGTGGGCATGATTAATGCCAGCAGCCGTGGCAACTGTTTCGCTGAGAATTCTTGGCTTGAGTCTCCCATTGCAACAGTCATCTCATCCCTACCATACCTGTCCTCTCTGTGGCCAAGGGTAGACTCCCTTTTTTTTTTTTTTTTTTAAGTCAAAGCCCCATCTATCCTGGAGGGCGGCAGCATGATTGCTTATCACCGGCAAGCATAGGGTAGACTTGCTCCTGACTGTTCTTTTATCTATCCTTTACTTCACATCCTTAACTCTTCCTTTGTCTCTTGTTGTTTTGTTTTTTTTCCTCACTCTCTCCCCTCACCCTGGTGTCCATTACTCTGTCATCCTTTGTTTTAACAGCATGCAAGTTTTCCGTCATGGTAGATGGATGTGTGGGCATTTAGTGCTCAAGCACACCAACGTGGCGAACCCTGCACCTGAGAGGCGACCCTGTCCTCCATTACTCTGTCATCCTTTTACTCTGTCATCCTTTTTTTACAGCACGCAAGTTTTCTGTCACAGTAGACGGGTGTGTGGGCGCTTAGTGCTCAAGCACACCCACTTGGCGAATTCTGCACCTGAGACGCACTGTAAAAACGGAAAGCTGAAAGCGGAAAGTAGAGACGAACTGTGAAAGAAAAGTCAAAAGGAAGAAAGGTAAGCAAAAACTGCACAGGGAAAAGAAAGGCAAAAGAACAGTCTCACTTTGCCTCATGCTGTCTGCTACTTTCTTCATTTGTTTTGCAAAATGGTCTGTCCAAGTTGATAGATGTACGGCATATGGTCCTCTGGGACATCCGTTAAAATTGGACTCATACGAGAAGGGTATTCGGCTTGACCCTGCTGCGAAAAGATGACACACATAAACTGGTCCCAGGTCTGCTAGGGGGGGGACGCTCGTCTCACACTCCCTGGCAGCATGTACCGGTTTACTAACAAAAAAAACAAAAAACAAAAAGGATATGTGGCAATATGGCTAGTACACCAGTCACTTCTTCGTACCTCACTTTGCACGAGGTGATGTCTACCCTAAACGGGAAAAGACACTCAGCTCCATCAACAGGTGGGTGTTTGACGGTGCTGGGTTGTTGCAAGTACTGATGAAGTGGTGCTTGAACTTAAACGTCATGCATCCTCGCTTCATGGCCCTTCTCCACACACGGTCGATTTTCACTAAAATGTACACGAACATTCCTCATGACTGCAGTCTGAATAATGTGGCAAAGCTATTGATAAACCTCATGCTTATGCCCTACGGCATACTCACAAGTATTCGTGCCCAGTTCCAGGAGCATAGTGATTCGAGGACCTCGTTGTGGCCAGTGGACAGCTGACTCAGGTGCGAACATCCTTTCTGTTTCCAAATTCTCCAGCGCCTTTGCTTTGTTACAAAGCACTTCCGAAGCAGATTGCTGGCATTCCAATGGGAATTGATGCTGGCCCAGAACTTTACAATCTGACGTTGTATTGGGACGAAGTGTGCTTTGTAGATGTTATTCGTCCATGTGATCTTCAAGCCGCTCACCAATAGGCTTGCACTTATTGCCTCATTGTCAATGTTCTCTGACGAGGGCAATTACCACCTCCACCAGAGCACTATGACGTTGAGTACAAGAAAACTACAGTGGCAGATGGCCCCATTTCCTTTTTAGTTATGCAGTTACGTGGCCATTCTGAAGGCTCGGTTTGCATGAGTGTCGTTGATAAAGCGCCTGCCTGGGACTTCCCTGTCACTCGTTAGGCAAGCGCACCCTCCAACATCCCCTCCCATCAACAGGCTGGTGCGTTTATTGGGCGATTGACCAGACTCGAACAAATCTGTAACAATAGGCAAGACTTCCAAACTGAGGCAACGCCACTTGCTTTCTCATGGGCATCCCCCATCGACCCTTGTTAAAAATTAAAATGCTTTATAATATGGGCTGTTGCAAGCGCTTCTATCCTACAGATGTGACACACCTCTGGAATGGTTCCGAGGCATGCTGATATAGTTCCTCCATCATCCACTTTTCTTCTTTCGCCCACAAAACTCTCGTCTTGCTGATGCTTGCTCATCTGCTAGTGGTAGACCTATTGTTCTCGCTGCTGCAGTTTTCGCTATTGCAGTTCCAATGCAGAGGACCTCTGCTGCAATTTTCACTCCTGCAGGTTCCCCTGTAGTAGTTCTAGTGCAAAGAACACTGCAGCCTCCCCATCACCCGTGCTGTCTTATTTTAGACCCTTGCTCAATAAACCCCCTTTTCCACTCTTTCTATGCTTGGGTGCGTACGGCCGTGTTCCCCTGAGGCCTCGCTCGAAAACAGACTTTCCAATTCCCATTGTTACACCTTCATTGCCGGAGACATGCTCGTCTCCAGTTGTGTTTCATCGATGGTGTGCGTCGTATCATCACTCATCTGGGGATCAGCAGCCTGTTTCTTTGTCTGCCCTGATTTTCTCTGGGCTTGCTCCACATGTTGGTGTTGTTCCTTCGCTCCAGGCGGCAATATCCTGCTCCCCTGCCTCCCGACAGTCCAACTCCAGGCTGGCAGGAGCATACTCTACAGCTTTGGCGACTCACAAGTCATCTGCAGAGCAGGATATGGTGCAGTCTCCAGTCAGGATGCGGTCCCCACTCAAGGTGCAGTCCCCACTCAGGATGCAGGCCCGACCATCCAGAGATTGGAACATCGTTCGGCTGACTTGTAAACTGCTGCACAAGCCGTAGACCACATGGATGGTCTGCAAATGAGTGGCTAGGACACAACCCCGGACATTCTAGCCACGGAAATTAACTTGCAGATTGCTGGCCGTTGTCTGGAACTTCAGCCTGTTCATGAGAATAAGTGATCTCTCTATGATCCCCATTCCATTTTGGTAGGAGACTGCACGATCTGTCATCTTCTCTCAATATGGTCATGCCTCATGAGTCATTACATCTTGGGGGAGCAGCAGTCGGGGTCCTATTCCAGCAGCAAGTCATGCGATGACAGTGAATGCCACTCATAATTCTCCGCATACGTGTGGGAGATTCAGACCCATATTCCCTCCAACCCCTTTCTGTACCCCTTTGTTTTTTTGTTTGCCCGTGCATCCGTGCGTCCGTGCGTCCGTTTGATTGATTGATTGATTGATTGATTGATTGATTGATTGATTGATTGATTGATTGAAACAAAAACAGAACCTTGCAGTTCTGACTCCTCTCCATTCTGGGGAGCATCAGTCCGGTCCCTATTCCACCGGCAAGTCAGAAAGGATTACAAATATATACTCACGCACGCTCCTCCCCATTATGGTTGAGAGGCCTGAGCGGATGACATTGATTACTTCCCAAGGGAAGGATGTACCACCTCTCACCCCTGCCTAAGTTAGCCTACAAGACACACTTTTGAGCTGCTTGCTAGTCTGACTGTTATGACATCTGTTTGTTATTATTCGTAACTTACCTAAGAGAGTTCTATCTGCTTCTTAGCCGTCAGATTTACCTTAAGTACTGGTGCTGCCAAATTGGTGTTTGAACCCCTAAACCATAACGGCCCTGTCTCGTACTGAACTCCTCCCAGCTGTTAGGCTGTCAGATTAACTTGGGCAACTAGACCAGTACAAGGCATCAACCTTCTAACCCTTGCTAAAGCCCTAAACCCTAGATTGGGTAAGGATTATAAGTGCCATCAAACTGTACTGTGCAAACTTAACCCCTCTACGAGCTAGGGTAGTGAGATGCTGTCTGGACGGATTACATACCGCTGTTCCCTGTTACCTATATTTATTTCTGTGACTTACTTGGAAGCCGCTGTGCCCGACCTCGTAACTGGTTCTTCGTCTCTAGGTGGGAGTGGTTATCTCGTGCTGTTTGATCCCTATCAGTGCCATACTGCTCTTGAAGCTAGTTCAGAGCTTCCGTAGGTTCTAAGTAAGGCCAAGCTCCTCTCAGCTTCTTACCGTCTCAAATGCTTGTGAAACTGGAGCGCTTTGAACCCTTGTTGATCTGTCCTAGTTTTTTACTGCACAAGTTTGTTGTCTTTTTGGGGCTGACTTATTGTGGTGTAAGATGAAATCCTGTTGAGGATTCCTGCGGTATGTGCTTCGAGTGGCTAAGGGATAGTACCATCTGTGGCTTTGAGAGAGGGGATAGGGTTTTATGTGGGTTTAGGGGCTCGGGGGTTCTAGTGGTGTTTTAGGCTGTGTAAGTCCGTAGAGAAAAGATGTGTTTGAGAGTCAGTATCTTGTGAAGGTTAGGGGGGTGGGATCAAGGATAGTTGTTACTAAGTGTTGTTCTAATTCTTGGTGCTTTGCGGAGGTGAGTGTTCAGGAGTGTTCTTTCTGTTGGGTTTATAGTAACTTTATACTACTTTATAGTTCAGTGTTTATTATGTCATCTGTTTCAGTGCCAGGGTCATTTGGGCGTGAGATTTGTGCAGCTGTAGGGGGATTTGTGTGTTGCTGACTGTTTTGTGCAGGTAGAATTAGTCAATCCTTTAATGTTAATCTTTCTCCTACTATTGTGCCTAGGTTGCCATTCCCTACTCTTAGTAAGGTGAACCTCTTGGTGATCTCAAGTTTTTTTTCCAGGGAGTTTTGTATGAAACGGTATTCACCTGTTCGCAGTAGCGAGTGCAGATCCCAGGGCTCGATCCCTAGTTCTTACCTTACCTGTGTACACTATCTGTGTCGGCCCCGAGAGTTGAACCCGTGACCTGTGTATTCGCAGTAGTTGGTAGGCTGTCGTAGGTCCGTAGGCTGTAGGGGTTCGATCTGGAGACCTGTCGTTTGTAGGTCTTAGCAGGTCCGAGGAGTCGTAGCTGTAGCTCCTCCGAAGGGTCAAAGTCGTAGCTGCTATAGTCCTGAAAGGTCAAGGTCGTAGCTGCTACGGTACCGAAAGGCCAAGTCTATGAAC